CCGGATTGGGTGGCTCGGAGAGAAGGGGCGGGCCGGAGCCCGGTGATTGGAGAGCACGGCGTGTCCCCGGATTTGAAAGAAGGAAGCCGCCGCCGGGCGGGCCGGCTCGACGCCGGCGGGAGGCCATGCCAGGCCTTCCGTTCCGCGAACTGACGGCGCTGCCGCGGAAGTCTCGGCGAACTCGAATTGATGCTTGCCGCGTTCAGCTTGGGGCCCCGGAGCACCGCCGGCCACCTTATATTCCCTGCGAACAAGTCACCCGAGACGTGTGTGTCCTCACGCGAGTACACCCCGACCTCTCCCTTCGCCATTCGGGGGACGCTGAATGGTGTCGGGTTTCGCTGCCAGTGATTCCTTGGGACCCACGTTGTGTGACAGTTCGCTGTATCTGATCGTCTCTGGGTCAGTCTCGGTCGGAAAAGGGGAGAGGGGCCAGCCTTCTCCCCTAGCTAGCTTCCTGAACTTCTCCATCCCCCTGGGTCGCAAATCCCTTCGCTGCCGCCTGCGCAGCACCAGTCCTTAACTGTCACTTCACCGAGGCCACGGTCGTCCAACAGCTTACTCCATATAGCCTCGGAGGAAAAAGAGGTCCTTTTCCAAAGCTAACGCCTTAACCTCGTTCCTTCAAATTACTTGCACTTCGGAGGGGAGAAGAGAGGGAAAGTTGAATTTAACAGTCCCCATTTCCGAGTTTAGTTTCATAGGGAAGGCTGATCTGATCACTTTTCCGTCTGCTTCGTCCAGAACACCACTCGGCTATCATTCCTGGACACCCTCTCCCCTGGTTCCTTTCTCTCTGTCTGGAAGAAGGTGGCAGCATACACACACACGCCGTGCGGGCACCTTCCTTGATCCTGCTGTGTCGCCCAGTGAACATTCTCCTTCCCTTGCTTGCCTCCACTTTTTACACCTTATTCTTACTCATTTCGTGTCACAGTGGCTGGGTCCTGAACACTAACACTTATCAGGAACGGCCTCATAACTGTCAGACTCAGTGACGGCCCCGCAATTTCTCTTGACAGCTCCTTGAAACCCTCCAGACTTGGTATTTGCAAAGTGTAACTACCCTTTTTCTACCTTTGCCCACACAGAATGAACACACATACGTGGAGAAAAACTCAGCATCTTCTGAATCCTGAATAGTTAAGTCAAATACTTAGCTCAAGTAGAAAGGATGTATTTGAATGTAATGAGCCACTCTTCTTTTTCAAAGTGTCTTCACCCCTCTATACGGTGGCCATACACTGTAGGTAAGCTGCTTGAATGTGTCCAGACTGTCATTCACTCAGCGTCCTTTCTCCATAAATATCCTCAAGTCACACAAGTTCTCCGACAACACCTGTATGACTCTAGTGACTGATCTACAACCCAAGGTGTCTGCAGGCAGGAGAGCCTGGACTCTGATGCCGGGCTACTTAGATCCGAATCCTGATGCTGCCTCCCTCTTCCTAGCTGTGTGGCCTTGAACAAGTAACTTTAACCACACCTCCTCATCTATAAAACGGGGATGATTAGAGCGCTTGCCTCAGAGGCCTGTGGTGAAGATTTAAAGCAACTCCTTTAAGGTGCTAGAAAAGCACTGGCCCATGACAGTATTCAGCCTCAGTATCTACTTTACTTGCCAACTGACCAGAACTCCCACTGTGATTTCCAAATCTCCTTAGACATTAAGTAGAGCCTGTAGAGGCCACATGACCGGGGTACTTCCCAGGGAAATTTCCAGAAGTGACACCTATCCCATTTTTCAAAGTCACATATCTCCCATAACTCCCATTTACCAACTGCTTAAAGGGATACATCTCATGGAAGGATAGCCTAAGCCCAGCAGGTGGAGGCTGAGGTAAGCCATGATTATGCCACTGCACTCCAGCCTAGGCAAGAGAATGCCTGACATACATACATACATACATACACACACACACACAAATAAATAGTACATCTCAGCCACTAATACCCAAAGCCACTCGCAGTGATTCCAGATTAATCTCCCACTAGTTCCCTAAAGGTACCTAATCTTTCATCAGGCCTTATATCCTGCTCATGAACACACCTGCCCTTTTACCTCCACCTGTTGAAAGCAGGCATCCCTTTCAAATTCTGCCAGCTCAAATAAGTTACTCTCTCTTATGCCTACTATACAATTTCTGCTACTATTACAAAGCTGAAGACATTATCTTACGTAAATTCTGAAAATTGCTTCCCCACTAGTATGTGTTTGTATGTTTCTATTTTTCACATTCCCCAGTGTTTATCATAGTATCTTGTACATAGTAGATGCTCAGTAGTCATTAATTTGGAGAATGATCTCAATTCATTATCCCATCCTAAACCCAGATGCCTCTATAATGATTGAAACCTCAAAGACCTGGATTCTCAATTCTGAGCCAGATTCAGCCTTAAGTTAGACGTCTTGTTTGGTCCTACATAATAAGTCTATAAGTCTAAAGCAAGTCCTTTAACAAAAGGAAAACCTTTGAGAATTACATGAAAAGAATTTTTTTATACTAGAATGCTAACTTTACAAAGTATTTTACCAATTGGACAATGAAACTCAGATGTCTCTTACATTAAAGTAAACAGAATATATATTAGCTCTTAACTCGATGCATATTAAGAAGCTCTGGGGGTATTACACTCTTCAAGGAAAGGTATCTTCAAAAGTTAGAATATATATACTTATAACAATTTTGTCACCTATGTGATTACCTAATAAGACACATATGAACTACTGTTAAAAAGTACATCTGTCTCTCTCTAGCCCCGATGGAGGTTCCTTGACCATCCCTGACAAAACTGAACCAAAAAGAATATTATTAGGCACAGTTTTTAGCCATTTACCACAATTATTGTCACATATATTCAATTTCCAATATTAAAATATTTTAGAAAATAATCTAATGACTATTTAGACTGAAAATCAACATCTGTCAGTTCTAGGTGCTAGTCTACATACTGACTTTGTATCTTTAAAATAAATGTTTTCTCATCCCCTAGTGTTTATTTGGGTTGTAACTGCAAGAAAGTGAAAGTAGAGTAAGCCTTAACAGTTAGCTTAAATAAAATACATTCTATGTTTATAAGGCAAAAGATACATATCTTTTAAAATATATTTTATTAAATAAACTACTTGGATAATAATTACAAAAGCTTTAAACAGTAATTCCAAGTAGTCAAACGCAATTTCCATTTAAAAAGAAAAAAGACCAAAAATCCATATTATGTTTTGCTGCTTTATACACAGGAATGATTTATTTTACATACTAGACAGTTCCAACATTAGCCTGTAAAATTAAAAACATTTCTTAATACGTCTTGAAGGCAGACTGAACTTCATAATGATATGCTTTCACATTAGCCAGTATGACAAAGCATAAAAAACTTAAGACTATGATAATAGTTAAAAACAAAATTTACAAAACAGGCACTTTGAAATCAGCTACTATATGTAACTTTCACAATTCACATTACTTGTACATATTTCATTTCATCAAAGGTCATCAACCAGTGAAGCAAATGTTCCTTTGATGAAGACACACAAACAGGTTTAGGTTCCAAACACTGTGTTCTGGTTGTAATACATGCAAGACAGACCCTAAATTAGAAAAATCTGAAAGAAAATGAAAACAAAACGCAGCCAGAAACGAAAGCATTTACAAGCATTTGAATAAGGCCTTTAAATGTTAAATCAGTGTTTTAAACCCCTTCATTCTCAGGTAAGGGATTAAGAGGCCGAGAGAGATATCGTCTGCGAGGGTGAGGATACTGGAGGCTGGCAGTGTCAGCATCGCAAGAGTGCTCTACCAGAGGAGGAGGAGGAGGAGGAGGAAGGAGCTGGGCATAACTGGACCATCTTGATCCAGCCTGTGGGGAATCCAGAGGGGGAAAGAAATACCTGAAACAATGAAGACAGGAACAAAACACCAAAACAAAACAAAAACAATAGAAAAAAAAAAAAAGGAAAAAAAAAACAGAAGAAAAAGAGAAAAGTAGTAAATACAAAGAGAACCAAAGAGGAGAAAACACATGCTAGGAAAAAAAGAGCTTTAGTATATTCATGCCAAAACTAACAGAACATAATAGCACAAATCAAGACCCTTACTCAAATCAAGATTGCTTAAGCAAGTATAAAAACTTGAAAGAAAGAAATACAATCTATTAAACTTAAAATGTCAAAAAAAATTATCAGTATGAATGTTACAAAGAAAAACACTAATTTTATAAATTTAAAACATTTTCTAATCTCTCAGAGACATATTTGATGCTATTCTGTAAATTTACAAATCTAGTAAACTTTTTATTTTGAGCAATGCTTCATTTGTAGCAGCAGCAAACACATTTTTTTTTAGTGTATACATGATACTGAGAACAATTCAAATACGCTTTCACATAGTATGGCTGGCTAGTGCAATATACTTGTGAAGAAATACACTCACTTAGCATACTTATTTTCCTGCAAAAAATAAGAATAGCTTATTTAGAATAGCTATAGAATTTTGGTAAGTAAAAGGAGTCAAAGAATTACTATACCCTACTGCTATTCTACCATTTTATAACTTACCCATATTATTTGTACATTTTAGCAAACTAAAAGATTTATTTATAGCTTTGTTATCAAGGTCAGAGCTTAACCGGATATGAACTGAAACAGGTAATTTAGAAAAATCCTGAGACACTAAATGATGAAGTAAATTTACAGGTACAATTTCACTAAAAATTTAACTACTTATGTGTCCAAATTTTGATTTGAAGGAAACTAAGCCACAGAATAACAAAAGCGTATTAGATGCATGTATTTCTTTAGTGAAAATGAATTAAAAACTTATAAATAAGTTTCCATTTTACTAGCAAATTACAAATGAAGCAATACTAAATGCTCAACTTGGCTACAAACTGTACAGTCAAGTTACTTTCATTTTACTATTACTACTTTACTAGTTCACTCCTTTACTAATATTTCTAAAATATTACCCAAAAAATGACAAGAGTTGTATTGAATTTCACGTATAAAGCAATTCTACAAAAAGTAAACAAATTAGCACTCAAAACAATCTTTATGAAAAATATTTATTAAATCTTCAAATTAAAATTATAAAAATTCATCATTTTAAGCTTTTTTAGGAAACAGAAGAAATATGTCTATATTCTCCAAATGGAATAAATTGATATTTTCCCTCCTCCCAACTACTTATACAAGGATGGTAACAATCCTTTTAATTTTTAAACCCAAAGTTAGTTTCAGGAACATTTTAAAAAATTGTTTTGTTGACAACGTCTCAACAGAAAGCCTCTCCATTTATATTTCAAAAGTTTCAAATAGTGTCAATAAACTGACTAGTACAAAAAAATGATATACACTATTTTTAAAGGCCTTTTGGACTGCATTTAGTAGTAAGCAGGCTGCTGGTGTATCTTGGGAGAGGTCAAACGGCGCTGGGGAAGGGGAAAAGGAGCTCGCTTTCCATTCCTGTGTGCATGCAACAAGCAGCAAAACAGCAAAGTTACTCCAGTTAGCTTGTACTCAGCTGTGCTTTCTGTTAAAGGACATAATACAAATGGAGAAGGGAAAATGCATCACAGATCTAACACAGATGGTTATTGGCACAGTAAGAAAACAGATCAAACATCAAAGCTATTTATGAAAGAAAATATGTAGCACAGGCAGTGACCAAAAACCAGACATTAAAAAAAATAACTCTAGTATTCTTTGCTTCATGAAATCATCTTTATAATCCGTTATCTTTACGGTAACCTGAAGTTGTTTTGTTGCAAATACTTAAAACCTCAAAATCAAATAGAAAACTTTATAAAAATATAGCAATATAAAAGTAGGGGAAAAATTTTAAATGCAACTTGTTTTAGCTAGAATGACAACAGGATAATCACAGGATAGTTCATTAAGGCTGTGTTTTGAAATTTCCTGAATTCTATCCCAAATTGTTCACAAAAGCATATTAAAATAATTTTATCTTACAAACTCACATATTTGGAATTTGGATATGAAAACAAAAGCATGACACTTTAGATCATATCAAATGCTATTTATTATGAGACACAAGAATATAACATATGCTAAATATTCTAAAAATCAAGATATTTTATCATTTCCACTTATAATCTCCATCAAAGTTTTCAACACAAAAGCCAAATCATTTAACGTACTCTATTTTACAAAGCCTTAATGTACTTTATTTGAAATTTCAGTATGACCTTTAGGCCACACTACAAGCACTAAAATGTAGCAATGTTCATCTAGGACTAAAACCCTCACTATCAAACCATATTTCCTCACCCTCTCACTGATGTAGAATCAAAGTAGAATCTTAAAACTATAAACATTTCTACTGACGGACCACTAAATTTCAGAATATAATTGAGTTTAATGGCCTCATTACCTACCTGTAAATATTATGATGGAGACCAAATACAGAGCTAACAAAGTTAATTTTTAAATTCTAATGTCATAATCACATGTGAATTTCTTCACTCCACCTTATAATTCATGAAATAATGGCTACCAGAATGACTGAAAAGGAAGATAATTTCTAGTTTTCCCACAAAACAGCCTACCTGCCAGCAGAGGATCCATTTAATGAATTTTGAAGATTTGGAATATTTGAACCTAGGGAAGGATTTGCATTTCCCTGCTGAGAACTCCCATTGACTGGGCTCCCGTTACCTTTCAAAATACCAGTACACTTCCAATTGTCCATATAATTAGCTGAAAGGAAAATAGTCAAATAATACATTAGCGTGATTAATACCCTTATGCACGAGGGCACAAAATCTGTATCCATGTCCTTAAACTACAATTAAAGAAACAAGAAGCTACTGGCTACATTTTTTTCAAGATAAACATTAAAGACATTTTTAAATGAAAGACATTATTTCAATTAAAATTTTTTTTTTTTTTTTTTGAATTGGAATCTCACTCTGTCACCCAGGCTAGAGTACACTGGCACGCTCACAGCCATCCCAGCATCGACCTGCTGGGCTCCAGTGACCCTTCTGCCTCAGTCTTTCAAGTAGTGGGAACTACAGGCACTTGCTACCACGCCCGGCTAATTTTTTGATTTAGCGTAGAGATGAGGTCTCGCCAAGTTGCCCAGGGTGGTCTCGAACCCCAGGCTCAGGGAATCCCCTCACCAGGCTTGAGCCACTGCGTCCAGTCTACCAATTTTCTTAAAGTTTCCAAAGAATTAACTAACTTAAAAAATACAAAGCTTTCACCACCCATTTCCCTTCCTTACAAGATAAATATTAGCAGAGACAATTCTCCCTGCTACCATATCATCACATTATGAAGTTAATATCAGAAGAAAATCTTTGTATTCATTATAATGAATTTCACTTACATATATATATATAAGGTAATAGAGTTGTATTCTTGGTGATGCAAGTGTGAGTTATGTGGACACCTAATATCTTCTGAGATGAATGTAGGTAACAAAACCTTTGGAGTTTGGCTGGCTTACCCAAAATGGCCTAATTCTTTGACTGCAAAATTAGCCAAGGAAGACAGTGAGCCCAGGAAACCCAAATTAGGGAGCCTGCTAGCGTGCACAGCTGGGTGGTCCTGAGGCAGACAAAAGGAACAAATCCCATGAACATGGAGGTCCTCAAGCTTAGCCAAACGGCACTTTGGGAAACAGAACTGCTCAAGGTAAAAGAACTAAAACAGCTATAATTTTGGATGCTGAGTATGGTACACTATAGGATGTAGTGCAAAAATCACAGACATCACTGCAAAAAAAACCACATCATGGATCAACATCCATGGAAAAAGGCAGAACTGAGCTACAGAGAACTGTCAGTGTCAACTGACCAGACCGAGTTATCTCTCAGTGTGGCCCTTGTAAGAAATTTACAATCAGGGCCTCAAGGTTCTTGAAATTTGGGGAGTTGTAGAGAAAAAGTGGGGAAGTCATACTGGATTCTCTCCTATTAAGGACTGTCTAAAGCAGTTAATAAAAAACAAAAGTGACTATACAGTCCTATTCTGAGTTTGTACAACAGGCACATGAGGTATATATATGGCAAACAGTATCTTTTTATTACATATGCAGCATATTGTGTTATAATTACTTCAGTTGCTCTGTTATACATAAAAACTAAAAAACAGTTCAGTTTAGTAATTAACTGCTATGAACTAGGTAAATTAATGTTCAAAATAACATTTTAAGACTAATTTTAAAGTAGCTGTAAAAGATAATTTTTTTCAAAATATTTCAGAGTTTACATTTTTAAGTAGGAATATAAAGCAACAATTATTCCTTCACTGAAATCTTACCTTTCCACAATCTTACACAGCCATCATCTCCTGAAGATGCTAGCACCGTTCCTGTTATATTCCAACTGACGCGCCAGACCTGAGAATTATGATTATCAAACTGAGCCACTATATGGATTTCAAATTTTGTGGGTCCACCAGAAGAAGTTAGTTCTTTTCTGTTAATCAAAAAAGAAATTTCTGAGGAATTCTGAGCAAACTTTAAATATATATATACTCTTCTAAATAAAAAATACAAATGGCCTCACATACCACATTATTTTATAATAATGTGCAAATCCATATTCCCCCTGCCCCTTGGCCCTTGAGCTGGGTCAGCGGTGTTTTGACTCCCCATAACCTGAAGTGATCTCAGCACACAGATACCATTCAGTGACTGTTTAATGGAAGAAAGAAGCGAGATAATTTTATTCCCCCAAACAAGGTTGAAAACTAAAACAGATAATAATCAAGGGAAGTTAGCAGATAGAAACAAAAGGACTGAAAGGAAAAAGGAAAGAAAAAGAACCAAAGCTCCAAGTCAAAATTAAAGCTAAATAGGCGATTCATAAAAACGCTTGTGGTAATTTAGTTTTCCCTAAGTACTGCCACCACTTCTCATTCTTTAAATACTTAGAGTACCAGCCGGGCTCAGTGGTTCAGCCCGTAATCCCGCGCTTTGGGAGGCTGAGGTGAGTGGATTGCCTGAGCCCGTGTATTCAAGACCCGCCTGGGCAACTTGGCGAGACATCTCTACAATAAATAAAAAAAAAAAAAATCAGCCGGGTGTAGTAGCATGCGCCTGTAATTCCAGCTGCTTGGAAGGCTGAGGCAGAAGGATTGCCGGAGCCCAGCAGGTCAAAGCTGCAGTGGCCAGGAGTGGCCACTGTACTCCAGTCTGGGCAACAGAATGAGACTCTAACTCAAAAATAAATAAATAAATACTTAGTACCAGTTATATTCAGAAATCCAATTCATTGTTGTTATTAGCTTAAACAAAGTACACCTTAGAGAATATATCTCCTCTATTTATTCCCTGTCCTGAAAAAGCATATAGTTATACATAAAATTTTCAGTAAAGAATTCACATCATAGTTACCTCTACTCTCTCCTCTACAAATAAAGATAATCAGGAGGCAATTCACTCACCTCACAGGCTTTAGTGTAAAAATTCTCACATCTTTGGTTGCTATCGCTAGAATATGAAACGATCTTCCCAGGTTTGGAGCAAACGCAATATCATGTACAGGATCAGTGACTGTCATGAGAGTTTCAGCTTTTGCATATTTCCTAATGAATAATCAAACAATTTATGTTAAAAGTGTAAAAGACATAATTTTCAAAAATCCACACATCACTGTACCTGTGTTATTTTTTTATATTGCTCATAATCAAGCAGAGCTTACCTCTGTAGTGGGCTGAACTCTGTAGTGGGCTGAATAGCGGCCCCCAAAATAGTATGTTCCAGAACCTGTGAATGTGATCTCATTCAGAAAAAGGGACTATGCAAATATAATTAAGGATCTCAAGATGACATCATTTTGGATTTAGGGTGGGTCCAAAAGTCAATGTCCAGTACACTCAGACAAAAAAGAAGCAAGACACAAAGAAGGCCACGGAGCAGAGTCAGAGACTGGAGTGATAAGTAACAAGCCAAGTAACTCCTAGAGCCAGCAAAAGCTGAAAAGGCAAGGAAGGATTTCAGGGGAAGCACAGTCCTAACAAAACACCAATTTCAGATTTCTGGGTTCCAAAATGTGAGTAAATACATTTCTGTTATGTTAAGCCACCTAGTTTGGGATAATTTGTTATGGCAGCCCTAGGAAACTAATATAACTTCCAAGGTTTCCTCATTTGATAATGTTTAATAAAAGTATAATCAGAATACGGTTTTCACCAGGCACAGTGGCTCACACCTGCAATCCCAGCACTTTGGGAGGCTGAGGTGAGAGAACTGCCTGAACCCAGGGTTCAAGACCAGCCTGGGCAACCTGGCGAGACCTCATCTCTACAATAAATTAAAAAAAAACAAAACTAGCTGAGCATGGTGGTGTGTTGCTTTGGACGGCTAAGGCAGAATGACTGCCTGAGTCCAGCAGGTCAAGGCTGCAGTGGCCGTGAGCGTGCTACTGCTTTCCAGACTGAGACTCAAAAAAAAAAAAAAAGTGTAAGGTCTTGATTTATCAGCCATTAATATTCATTTAAAGAAAAAAGTTAACAAGTTTTCTAAGTATTTGAGTATAAATAAAAAAGTAAAGCTGAGGCCAGGCAGGCACAGTGGCTCATGCCTTGAATCCCAGCACTTTGGGAGGCAAAGGCCAGAGTATCACTTAAGCCCAGGAGTTCAACACCAGCCTAGGTAACATAGTGAGACCCTGTCTCTATAAAAAAAAATAATAATCAAAAAATGAGCCAGGCATGATGGTATGTGCCTGTAGTTACTGGTTACTCAGGAACTGAGGCGGAGCTGCAATGAGCCATGATCATGTCCCTATGTAGCCTGGGCAACAGAATGAGACCCCTCCCCGACAAAAGTAAAGCTGGTAACAACAACTGAGTTTTTAAAGTGGTTAAAAAAAAAAGGAAAAAGTCAAAGTTTATATTATCCTTACAACTCTATGTCTATATCTGTAAGCAAAAGAATAAGAGGATAATGAAGGAGACAACAGATCAGTTTTCTACTAGATTCTTCTATATTTTAGACTAAATATCCTGGATCTAACTGAAGTACTAACTCTGTGTGTAGGAGAGAGGGTTGTGAGATTTCCCCATCCCCCTTTACACCACCTTCCTCTAAAATACTAGTGTTTCCACACTCTATACAGTACTTTATCTTCTTTTTACCTCCTATCTACCAAGCTAGTATGCCTCAAAGTTCTCTCCTTGAGACCCTCTTCTCACCCTGTAAAATCAACCTAAGAAAGCTCATCCGTATCCTTGCTTCTACTGTGTGGTGCGCTTCTAGAACATGTAGAACATCTCAGCCCCCACCCAAGGGCTACCAAACTGAAATATGCATTTTAACAAGATCCCCAGATGATTCACAAGGACGCTGAAGTTTCTATACCCATGGTTTCACTACCTATAAACCAGTAATTCCTAAATCTATCACCTGCAGTCTAGTCCCTTCTGCCAAAGGCCAGAAAGAGGAGAGAGGTGGTTAAGAGCACACATGCTGCAGTAATCATGTATTTCCAGGCTGTACGTGAACTTCAGCAAGAAGTTCTCTGCAAAGTGGGAGTAACACCAGCACGGTGACAGACAGATTCTAAGTGCCCCCATGACTTTTACCTCCAGTGTACACACCCTTGTGGGGTGTGAATCCATGGCTCATTTATTACCCAGGGAAGGGGATACACCAAAGGTGTAATTACAACACACAAGCTTGTGATGCCTGCCTTAAGAGAAGACTGTCTCCTTTAGAGGCCCTGATGAAGTAGCTGGCATGCTGTGAACTGCACTAGAGAAAGGGTCATGTGGCAGAAACACAAGTACTGCCAACAACCAAGAGAGCTCCAAAGTGAAGCCTTCCCCAGTCCGACCTGACTCCTGACCCATAGACACCAAGATAAGAAATGTGTGCGTTTGTGATAATATTATGGTGCAGCCAGAGATACCAATCTCAGCTATTACATTCATCTGCCCTTTAGACATTGTCACCTGGATGCACCACAGCCGCCCCAAGGCAAGTACAAATAAAGCCAAGTGTCTCTCATCCCCTCTGCATTCACTCCTCTCCATGCAGTCTCCTTCTCCATGAATGGCTCTACCACCTGCCAAGTCAGAAACCAAGACTCACTTGATATACAACAGTGCCCCAGTCACAGCAATTCCACCTCCTAGGCAAGTCTCCTTCATCCCCTCCGCCTCATCCCACCATCTTAGTGCGTGTGTCCTCATTCTCTACCACAGTGGGCTATGTATTAATTCCCTGAGTCCTGCTTCCAGTCTCACTTCCACACAGCTGCCAAAGTCATCGTCCTAAGTAAATACAACCTTGTAGCTTTATTGGACCCTTCAAAAGCCCAAATGCTGACAGGACAGAGACCCAACTTGGCAAGCAGCACTCTCCCAAATCTACCTGGCCTGCTGGCCTGTCTCTCCTCTGCCCTACCCTCTCAGTCTACTGCCTGACCAGGCTGAATTCGCTCCACATCTTTGCTCTGCTTCCTCTCTGCCTGCAGCACACCTCCGTCTTCCAAGACAGCAGCTCAAACGTCAACTCCCGCCCAACGCCTGAGCCCTGCCAGGCAGAAGTGACTTTCCTGCTCTACTGTGCCTGGTACATGCTACTATCATGCAGCAGCTCACTGTCCTGATTCATATCCTAGACACTGTGAGCTCCTTACATACAGGACTGTGTCTTTAGCTCTCAGTATAGCCCCTGCTGCTTTTGAAATGTCAAAAAAATGAGATTTTTTTCCCCTTACCTGAGACAACTTATTTGTTTTAATAAGTGTTACCTAAAGTTTTTCCTATCTGAAGGAACTGAGTAAGAGCCTCTGTGAGAGTTAAAAAAAAGGAATGAACAAAAAAGGAATAACTTTCTAACCTTGACTCCTACATTTAACCTTACACTAGTCATTTTACTCTGTTGGTCTCAGTTTCCTCATATGCAAAATAGTGTTAATAAAAAAGCTGCCTACTCGTCTCATAAGGTGGACATTAGGGTTTGAATTTCATAATACATAGAAAAGTGTCCGATAACCTATATAATAAATGCATAGCAATTGTATTATCAGTATTAACGCTAGACCTGTTTTAATACTTTCACTAACAAGTAAAAATAAACATATACAATATTGGGTTTAATTTGGCAAATGTTTTCTCTTTACTAAACAGCAATATTAGCTGCAAAAAGATAAACAGGTATTTAATAGCCAAATGCTACTTAGTCCAGTATCACACATCCTCCATGTAAGCATGTTCAATCTAAATAAGAACCTTCAAACAATGCTTACCTAAAACAACCAGCACCGGAAATCCAAAAAATGCTGAACTCAAAAGGTTTATTTCTTAAGTGAACTCCACACACATACCAACATTGTTACCCACCCCGTAACATCCCCCTGTTTTTTTTTTTAAATCCAAATCTCACTCTGCCACCCAGGCTGGAGTGCAGTGGCATACTCATGACTACCACAGCCTTGACCTGCTGGGCCCAGGTGATCCTTCCACCTCAGTCTTCCAAGTAGCCGGAACCACAGGTACATGCCACCATGCCTGGCTAATTTTTTTATTTATTCTAGAGATGAGGTCTAGCCAAGTTGCCCAGGCTGGCCTCAGACACCTGGGCTCAGGCAATTCTCTCACATCTGCCTATCTAAGTGCTGGGATTACAGGTGTCAGTCACTGCCCCTGGTGTCCACCTCATTTTAGATGCTAAAAATGCTAGACTCTTGTTATCTGACTCCCCTACAGCTAAAGCATAGTTGGATAACCTAATTCTGCCCAGCAGGACCTGGCCAGATGAGAAGCCTGCTAGGATACTTCCAGAAAAGTTTTTTTTTATCCTAGAATACTCTTTTTTGTATCTGCATATGAAACCTGCAATGCTGTAGCCATCTTGTGATAAGAGGAAGCTGTCACCAGCATACTAAGGATGACAGCAAAAAAATGGCAACTATTCAGGTAGGTCCTTGATGTCAGCAGTGAGCAACTGAGTCACTTCTTAACTAACCCCAGAACTGCTCCACCCACAGGCTCCTTGTTACAGAGGATTCTACCCCCAATCTAGATTTATTCTGCTAGCTAAGGGACTCATATACAATCTCAGATTATTTTTAACACTGGATTATTTTAAGTATTCAGGTTTTTTTTTCTAGTTGCCTGTATTTTCTTTAAGAATGAACTCCAAGTTCTTTACCCTTTTAATCAATTCTTATTTATGAAGTATTTTTTCATTCTGTATGTTTCAGAAATGGTCTACCTTTTAAGTTTTGGATTTATGCCTACATAGTCATTCTGCTCAGCTAAAGCTGAAAATTTCTTTAACAACACTAATGCTTCATGAAGCCTCTACAAAATATGCTGTTAATATGGTTCCTAGCTCTATTAGCTTAAAAGGCTATTAAAAAAAACTCAGCAATCTAGAAAGTTTTTACATTCCAGAACTGTGCTGGCCAGTACACTAGTGACTAGCCACATGCACCATATTTCAAGTTTCAATAGCTGTATGCAGTTAATGGCCACTGCAGTAGATGGCACAGATATAGACTATTTCCCATCATTGAAGCGAGTTCTATTGGATGGTACTGTTACAGACAGAAATTATCTGAAGAAATAGAGATTCTAAAAGGGAAGAAGGTATAAGAACCCCTTAGCAACCTAGGTGGTAACATTCAAAACTGCAATGAGAATAACACTAGTTCCTCTTTTCTGCCTCTTGTCCAGCCCAGTGTCTGACTATTAAACCCTAGAATTTTACCTAACACCGATAAAGTCCACCTAGTCACCTAATAGGTGCTCTTTTCAGTATAGCACTGAGTGCTATACCACTCACACAGTGCTTGTGATTCGCCAAGATTTTGTAGATCCCTGTATTTCAACGTGATGAAAATTAATTTATCTTCACATGCTGCCACACTCTACTTCAATCCATCCTGTTTTCAGAATTCCTTACCTCAAGAAATCACACACTATCCATTGAATTATTAAGCCAGAGCCTTGGAAACCACCTTGACACCTTCCCCACTTCTCTCTCAGCTCCCACATTTCAATCAATCACCAGATCCTATTGATATCACTTCTAAAATTAATCTCTCCGGGCATGGTGGCTCATGCCTATAATCCCAGCACTTTGGGAGTCCAATGCAGAAGGACTGCTTGAGCCCAGGAGTTCGAGATCTGGACAACATAGCGAAACCCCATCTCTACAAAAAAAATTTTTTTAAATTATCTGGGCATGGTGGCACATGTCTGTAGTTCCAGTTACTCGGGAGGCTGAGGTGGAAAGATGGCCCGAGCCCAGGAGGTTGAGACTCAAAAAAAAAAACCCTCAAATTGTTCACTTCTCTCCCACTGCCACTACTCAATTCCAAAGCTGCTATAATTTCCCATCTGAACTGTCTCAGACAGCATCCCCGCCCTGAATCTATCCCTGGTCCCCTCTTAAACACTTTCCACACCTAGGGAAGAGTTAAACTACCATCTGATCCCATTATTCTCCATTCATGTTACCCAAAAGATAAAATAAAATGCTGGACACAAGATCTTGCAGATGAGTCTTGCCTATTTCCTACAACACTCCCTTACTCACTAGTAATCCCAACACAGTATAAACATATTGCCTCTCTTATTCATAGACCTCAACACATGCAGTTTTCTCCACTAGGAGAGCTTCTGCTGTCTTAAACTTCTACTCATCCTATATGTCTTCTTCTAGGTGAACCTTCCTGGCTTCCAAACTAGATAAGTATAAGCTCTTTAACACCCTACTTCTCTCAGTTTGTAAATTTCATCACCCTTTTCTACTAACCCTTTTCGGGTCGAGTATGGTGGCTCCCAACATTTTTGAAGGCAGAGGCAGGAGGACTGCTTGAGCCCAGAAGTTCAAGACCAGGCTAGGCAACATAGTGAGACCTTGTATCTACAAAAAAAAATTATCAAGAAATAGCCAACCATAGTGATGTGTGCCTATAGTCCCAGCTACATGGGAGGCTGCAGCAGAAAGATAGCCCAGGAGGTTGAGACTGTGGTGAGCCATGATCGTGACACTGCACTCCAGCCTGGGTGACAGAGTAAGACCCCAATTAAAAATAAAAAAAATTAAAATTCAGAAATTAAAAAAAATATTTTCTGATTTTCCTGCAAGATGGTAAATACTGAGAGATCAATCACCATCTCCTCTTTATCATTCAACCCTACATTATCAGAGCCAAGCCCAGAATTTGGCATATCAACAAATATGTAATGAATGATGCATTTAAAGAAACAGCATTTTAAAAATTAAATGTAATTCTGAACAATAATTAAAACCAAAGCAGTACTGACCTGGTGTTTTCATTATATTCAAAAATCTGAACCTTGGCCATCGCATTAGGACTACTGTCATCACTTCCAACAGCTATCATGGGGGAATGAGCACGAGAGCTAGAAACGAGGAGACAAAACATTTTACATAATGATAAATTAATAGACATTTAATTCAGAGAATTTAAAAAGTGGAGTCAAGCAGACAGACAACCTACAGTCAGTCTGTCCTTACCGTACCATCTACGTCTCTGCCATACATCTTATGTGGCCATACTGCCAAGTTTTATGCTTGAGAATGTTATACACAGGAACTGAGGATATCATCCTTCTGGATTGTTTTTAATCACATTTTCTTATGGCTCAGATAGAAAGGAGCTCTTTGCCCTTTAAGAAAAGGTTTTAAGCACTCAATATGAAAAAATTATACTTGAGTGGTCTCAGCAATTTTTCCTTCTGAAAGATTTGGTCATTAACTACAAAATGAAAAGTAACCCTATTGTGACTAACTTCATGACAAAAAAGTTTTAAATGCTTTACACGAAAGAAGAAACACAGATGGAAGAAGGAAAAGTAGAAAAGACCACCCCTCAGGAAGTCATGGTCCCCACCAGTCATTCATCGTAGAGTCATTTGTGGTCAACCTCATTTTGAAAAGGCAAAAGACACTAAAAGAATGGTTTTACTGAAGCAAGTTCTATGTTAAATGACCCTTTTCATTTGTCAGGTTAATTACTATTTCCTTTGCCTCCCTCTAGAATTAAGTATTCTCTCTAAGAACCTGTCATCCTTGCTTAACTTTTAACATCAATATTTTCAACTACTTAAAGCTAAAACTAAAGCTAAAAACAAGACATGGTAAATGGGGAAAAAAGTTTTAGTTCTTTGTTACTAAAGTTTCAGGAAAGTGGATCAAATCATCTAATTAAGAACATTACCAGGTAATCTGCAAAATGCCACAGTAACAAAATCAAATTACAAGTTTCTTATAAGTTACTTAAAATCAAATTACAAGTTACTTACAAGTTACTTATAATCAAATAGATGTAAATTCCACAGTATTTTCTAAGTCTCACAAACTTTCTTTTTCAATGTTCTACGAATACATTTTGATTTTGCAACTTTAATAATTTGAATGAGAACCAAAACTATGTTTATAGTAATATATTCTAAAATTACTAAAAACTTAAGATTTTAAACATATTTTTTGAATCAAATTATGAAATGGCAAGATAACAACCTGAATTGAGAATTACCTCATTTGTACAACCAGAAATAAGATGTTCACATTTAAACCACTTTCTAAACATGATTCACAACTGAACAGTGAGAAAATCCATCCAGCCTTCTGACTGAACAGTACAGACAGATCACCTACATCTCCTTCTCTATTCTTAATGTCCCACTGAAATAATGAATAATAATGTAACAGTGCCAGTAATTTTAAAAGTATGCCATCAGAAATCCTAGGAAGTAGGAGATTGGACTAGAGAGAAAATACAAAAAGAGAAAGTAGAAAATTCCAGAAGCTCCAAACTCCAATTAAGCAAATAGAAATGGTCTTAGTAAGATGATTAGAACTTGAAATAAAGTAACAATCCAACACTGGCAGGGAGAGCCAAGGAGGAACTAAAGATGTTAAAGTACTCCATTCTCAAAGCAAAATCCTCCTTACTTGGGCAATCTGGGGTTATCCCAGCCTGCCAGCTTGCTCTTTGTTCACACACCCTCCAAGGAAGCCTCCTGCCAACCCACGCTACCTAGTTAAGAGAGTAAGTTGTTAAGACAACAGAGCACTTAACAAAAGAAAAACAAATACCAGTTTTCTCTCTTAGACACAGAGCCCTTGTTCATAACTCTAATCAAAGATTAGCAGACACATAAGAAAAACACAGGGCATAAAAGATAAAGACCAAGGCACATACAAAGAAAAACTGATCTTTGAGAAAACACATATAGCCAGCCCTCATTATTTAGAAATTCTGTATTTGTAAACTGGCCTAAAGTCTCTTTGTAACCACAAAATCTAATATTCTCAGGCTTTTATGGTCATTCATCAAAAGGTACAGGGCAGCTCTGCAAAACAAAAAAAACTGCAGGTTCCCAGCTGAGATGAACAAAATGCCTCTCTGCCTTCTTCTTTCAGTTCTTCTATACCACAAACAAGTGTCCTTTTCACAGTGTAATTAGTGCCATGTTTTTCACATTCTCATGTTTTTGGTGATTTCACAGTTTAGAGTGGCCCCCCGTGTGTGGTGCTGCAGTGTTATCTAGAATTCCTAAGCACAGTAAGGCTGTGATGTGCCTTATGGAGAAGACACATGCATTCAAAAAGCTTTGTTCCAAGCCAGGCACAGTGGCTCACGCCTGTAGATCCAGTACTTTGGGAAGCCAAGGCGGGAGGACTGCTTGAGCCCAGGAGTTTGAGACCAGCCTGGGCAACAAAGTAAGACTCCAGCTCTACAAAAAACAGAAAAATTAGCCAGGAATGGAAATGCATGCCTGTAGTCCTAGCTACTCAGGAGATTGAGGCAGAAGGATCGCCTGAGCCCAGGAGTTTGAATCTGCTGTGGACAGCAGTCATGCCACTGCACTCCAGCCTGGGTGAGAGTGAGATTCTGACCAAAAAAAAAAAAAGTCCTCTGTTCAGGCCTGAGTAATAGTGCTGCTGACTGTGAGATCAATGTTAATGAATCAACAATGTATATGAATTAAGTTGTTTTTCAAAAGAAACAGAAAAGATATGTATTAATCAGTTGATGAAGATGTTGTAGTCAGAAGCTTGTGGAAACCTAACCCTGTGTTTCCTAGAAACAACTCAGTATTAGCTAATTCAGTGTTTTGTGGCAATTTTACAGAACATGGCTACTACAAACAATGAAAAATAACCATAATTAGGGGAACAAGTGCAAATTTGAATTAGGAATCTCAGGGACATATTGCATCCATGTAACAAAAACTGACTGATATAAAGAATAAGCAATCAGAGAAAAAAGTACTCACAATTAAAAATGATTCTTATTCACCTAAAATTCAACGTTGGGATAGAATGTATACCTAGAGAACAAGCTGGAGATCTAGGAGACAGAACAGTAAATCTTCAATGGAGAGTAAGCCCAGGAATAATCAAATATGAGTTCCAGAAAGAACAGATGCAATAGAAGAAAAAGAAATTATCCAGAATCATAAGATAATACCCAAGTTGAGACAAGAACATTCATTCTGAAGGGTACTACTAGGTGCCAAGCAAGATCAAGCAAAAAAGATCAAGAACTAATAATATATGTCTGAGTTTGTTTCAAAATAATCCAGATTTGAGGTTTTTCTGAGGCAAAGGGAATGAGGAAAGTATACATAGATGAAACATAAGTAACTTTGGCTTCCTATAGCTGGGAGACAGATATATGATGGTCTGTCTACTGAACTTCTATTATTTACACTTTGGGAGCAGAGACAAAAGGACTGTCTTGAGCCCAGGGGTTTGAGAACAGTCTGGGCAACTTGGTGAGACCCTTTCTCTACAATAAATCAAAAAATTAGCTGGGCATGGTGCCATGCGCCTGTAGTTCCAGCTACTTGGAAGGCTGAGGCGGAAGGATCGCTGGAGCCCAGCGGGTCGAGGCTGCTGTGACCGGGAGCGGCCACTGCACTCCAGTCTGGGCGACAGAGTGAGACTCCAACTCAAAAAAAAAAAAAAAAAAAAAAAAAACAGCAACTATGGTACATTCATTCAGTCACACTCTTATAGCAATTAAAAAGAAATGAGGTAGAAGGGCTGGATATAATAACAAATGTAAAAATGCCTACAGTGTATTTGTAAGTGAAAAAAAGCAAACTGTAAGGAAGAAAATGTATGGGTTACATTCACATGTCCGTGTGCTTTGCATCTACTTGGTTTAATAACTATCTGGGTGCATTTGCATATATCTGTGTTTATGAATACATTATATATTTATTTGCATAGAAAATGCCTAGAAGGTGGCCATTGCTTTGCTAAACTCTGTGGTGTTTCCACGTGGTTCTGAGCTATGGTCATCATGTTTTCTTAGCTTTGGCCCCCTCCTCCATCTTGGGGAGATGAATCTCTCTCTCTCTCTCTTTCTAATTTACTTTCTAAATAAACTTTGCTTGAAAACTTTTTAAAAAAGAAAATGCCTAGAAGGTTCATACCAAAATATTTACAATAGTTGGCTTACTCTGTGAAGTAGAAATGGGATAAAGAGACATGTCTGTGTGAAAAAGAGAATATTTATACTCTACATAATATATCTTTTATTAAGGAAAAGCATTTTTGAGAAAATACGAGGGACCCCAAAAAAACTGGAATTATCCTTTGAAGGGTGGGCCCTTGTAGTATACTCAGAATTTGTTCCACTAGATCAAACAACCAAAATTTTTATCTGGAAGTTCTGTGAAGGTTGCATCACAATCTGCAGAAGAAACATCCTGAGTTGTGGCAAACAGGTGACTGGTTCTTCCACCATGACAATGCAACTGCCCACACTCAAAAACAGCATAAGCCCCATGCCCCACCTTCCTTATTCACCAGAGCTCACCCTGAATGGACATTTTTTTGTTTCACAGATGAGAAAAGTCCTCAAAGGGAACATTTTGCCGATGTGAAAGAAGAAACTGGCAAAAGTACTATAAGGCATCAAATTGACAAGTTCAAAAACTGTTTCGAGCAGTGGAAAAAGCATCTCAATAGGTGTACTGCATCAGAGAGTACTCTGAAAGTGACTGAATTTAAACATGTAAGAATACACAATTTTTTATAAATAAATTCCATGTTTTTTGGGTCCCCCCCTCAGCTTAAAACTTTTATTTTGCTAAGATTATATTAGCAAGTTTCATTTGCAAGCTTACCTTGAAGGGTTCCAAGAAATACAACTACAGCTTAGCTTGCATGAGATCTCATGCTGCAGGGACCACTGGCTGAGATTCATAACATCTGGTGCCTCGTATATTCTTACTATACCATCTGCTGAACAGGTTGCTAACATAAGACCCATATGCTTGGGAGCAAATTTCACATCGGTAACAGATGTTCTGCTATCCACTAGAGTTGTCCTTTTAACCTTTAAAAAAAAAGTTAAAATTTTAAATTATATACAAAAAGAAAGCAGGGTAGTAGAAAGAATATAGGCTCTGGAATCACACAGAAACTCCTCTGCCATTTATTAGGTACATAACCTCAAATAAGTTATTTAAATCCTGTCTGGGCCTCAATTTCCTATAAAGCAGTGGAAAAAGCATCTCAATATGCTCAACACACCACATATATAGCTGACAATCACCAACAAATTAGTGAGCTACATTAATTAAGGCAAAAGGAAGTCAGACTTAGAAAGCTTAACTTAATCGCTCTTAAGTAGACTGGTCACACACACAAAAAAAATGTTACAATTTTTTTTTTGGAGTTGGAGTGTCACTCTGTCGTCCAGACTGGAGTGCAGTGGCCGCTCCCGGCTCAACCTGCTGGTCTCCGGCGATCCTTCCACCTCAGCCTTCCAAGTAGCCGGAATTACAGGCATGCGCCACCACGCCCGGCTGTTTTTTTTTTTTTTGATTGATTGTAGAGATGAGGTCTCGCTGCCCAGGCGGGTCTCGAACCCGCGGGCTCAGGCAACCCACTCACCTCAGCCTCCCAAAGGCGCGGGATTACAGGCTGAGCCACCAGGCCCGGCCACAATTTTTTTTTTTGAGCTAGAGTTTCACTGTCACCCAGGGCAGAGTGCTGTGGCATGCTCACCACAGCCTCAAATTCCTAGGCTCAGTCAATCCTCCCACCTTAGTCTCCTGAGTAACTGGCACTACAGGCGTGCACCACCATGCTTGGCTAATTTTTTTTTTCCTGTAGAGACGAAGTTTCACTATGTTTGCCCAGATGGTCTCAAACTTCTGGGCTCAAGCAACCTCTCCCCTCAGCCTCTCAAAATGCTGGGTTTACAGGCATAAGCCACCAGGTTCAGCCAGAATTTTCATGTAAGTAGTTTTGATATGCAAAGCATGCTGCAAGTAGTAATGAATTAAGATGTTTTAACAGTAAATGGAAGGTATGCAATTTCCTCTCTCAACCCTTTTTGGTTAATCCTTCCCAGACCACCACCATCCACTTCTTTGTTTTTGTTTTATTTTGTTTTGTTTGAGTTGGAGTCTCACTCTGTCGCCCAGGCTGGAGTGCAGTGGCATGCTCAAGGCCACCGCAGCCTCAGCCTGCTGGTCTCAGGCAATCCTTCCGCCTCAATCTTCCAAGTAGCTGAACTACAGGCACACACCACCACACTCGGCTAATCTTTTGATTTTATTGGAAAGACAAAGTCTCACCAAGTTGCCCAGGTTGGTCTCGAACCCCTAGACTCAGGCATCCTCTCGCCTCAGCCTCTCAAAGTGCTGGGATTACAGGCTTGAGCCAGCGTGCCCTTCTTCTTTGTTTTAGAGGAAGGGTCTTACTCTGTCACCCAGGCCAGAATGGAAAGGCATGATAATAGCCACTGAAGCCTTGAACTCCTGGGCTCAAGCAATCTTCCCACCTCAGCCTCCCAAGGCTACAGTCATGCACCACTAAGCTCTAATATATGTATATATATTTGAGACAATGTCTCACTATGTTATCCAAGCCTCAAATGATCTTCCCACTTCAGTCTCCAAGTAGCTGGGTTACAAGTTTGAGCCAGCATGCCTAGGTACTATCCACTTTTAAGTGAAGGCACTGAATAAAGCCAAGAGAATGGTATGAGGAGGACATTGTGATAATTACAGAATTCCAATTCCATTGAAAAGTTATTTGCTTAAAGATGGCGGGAAGAGAGAGAGAGAGAGAGAGAGAGAGAGAGAGAGAGAGAAACGTTATTTCCTGGCACCTATATAGGATGATGCTTGACTGAAAATGTATTTAGAAATTAATGGTTTACTATCTGTGGTTACAAAAATTTACTATCTGTGGTTACCAAAATACTTAGAAAATACTCAATATTAAAACTTCAAAGATAACAGCTTGGCAAACACTTTTCTACAGCCACCACACAAATACCCACACAAATGCTGAGAAAATAAACGTATTAATGACTGTTGATTTAACTAAATACAAACAAGTATTTTAGTCAGAAGAAAAATTCTTTAGATGTCACCATTCCTAAACCCAACCTCTAGTGGAGATGAGGTCTTCCTATGTTGCCTAGTCTGGTCTCAAACTCCTGGGCTCAAGTGATCCTGCCATCTTGACCTCCCCAAGTGCTGGGATTACAGGCGTGAGCCACCACTCCCAGTCACACCTCAGATTTAATGTCAAAAAATTCCCTTCAAATTCTATAAACGCCCCTTCTCCCCTCCCCTTAAGCAGTTGTTTGCCTTAGAGAGACCCTAGAACAAAGCCAATCATACCAACGTCTCTCTCTATAGCAATTCAAGCTACAAAGCTACTGTAATTAAAACTATGCTATTGGCATAAGGAGATATATAGACCAAGGGAACATAAGATAGCCCAGAAATAAATCCTCCACATGGAGTCAACTGATTTTCAATAAAGGTGTCAGGACCATGCAAAAGGGGAAAGAACAGTCTTTCCAATAAATGGTGCTGAGAAAACTGGTTACAGCCACATGCAGAAGAATGAATTTGTAAGGTAACAACCTTACACCAGATATAAAAACTGACTCAAAATGGATCAAAGACCCACAAATAAGAGCTAAAACTAAAACTCTTTTAGAAGAAAATATTGTGCAAAGTTTTCAAGACATTGGATTTGGCAATGATTTCTTGAATATGACACCAAAAGCACAGGAAAAAAGATAGGTAACTGAACTTCAAAATTTTTTAATTTTGTGCATCAAAGGGCGCACTATCAAGAGTGAAAAGGTCACCCACAGAATAGGAGAAAATATACAGACTGAGCATCTCACACCTCAAAATCCAAAATCTGAAATGTTCCAAAATCCAAAACTTTTTGAACATTGACATCATGCTCAAAGGAAATGTACACTAAAGCATTTTGGATTCCAAACTTTTGAATTCAGAAGCTTAACCAGTAAGGATACAATGCAAATGTTCCAAAATCCAAAAAATTACAAGATACTTCTGGGTCCCAAGCATTTTGGATAAGAAATACTCATATCCAGAATATATAAAGAACTCCTACAACTCAACAACAAAAAACTCAATTTTAAAAAGAGAAAAAGGGCCAGACTCAGTGGCTCAGCCTGTCATCTCAGCACTTTGGGAGGTCGAGATGAATGGATTTCCTGAGTCCATGGGTTCAAGACCACTCCGGGCAACTTGGCGAGATCTTGTATCTACAATAAATCAAAAAAAGTAGCCAGGCATGGTAGCACATGCCTATAGTTCCAGTTACTTGGAAGGCTGAGGCGAAAGGATCGCCAGAGCCTAGCAGATCGATGCTGGGGTGGCCTTGAGTGTGCCACTGCACTGCAGCCCGGGCAACAGAGTGAGACTCCAACTAAAAAATAGAGAAAAGGACTTGAACAAATATTTCCCTAAGGAAGACACAAAATTGGCCAAAAAGCACACAAAAAGATGCTCAGCATCACTAATCATTAGAGGAATACAAATCAGAACACAACGTGATACTACTTCACATCCACTAATCCGTGAAAATAAGTGTTGACAAAGACAGGGAAAAATCAGAACCCTTGTACATTGCTGGTGGGAACGTAAAATGACGCAGCTGCTATGGACAACAGTTTGACAGTTTCTGAATAAGTTAAACACAGAATCACCATATGAGCCAACAATTCTACCCCTAGGTATATATACAAAAGAAATTAAAGCAGGGTCCCAAAACACTAATCTGTACAACAGAGCTTACAGCAGTATTATTCACAATGGTTACGAAGTAGAATCAACTCAAAGTTCCATCTACAAATGAATGGATAAACAAAATGTGGTATATACACTCAAAATGGACTACTACTCAGCCATTAAAAGGAATGAATATGATATATGCTACAACATGAACAGAACTTCAAAACATTCTGCTTAGTAAAGTAAGCCCACCACAAAAGGACAAATACTGTATGATTGATTCCACTTACATGAGGTAACCAGAGCAGTCAAATCTGTGGACAAAAGATTGGGTGATGGAGGGAGGGGGGATTGGGAGGCATTATTTAACAGTACAGAGTGTATATTGGGATGATGAATAGTCATGGGCATAGATAACAGTGGGTACACAGCATTTAAATGCAATTAATTACACAGAAACTGTACCACTTACAAATAGCTAAAATGATGACTATTACATATATTTTACCACCATAAAAAAAATGCATAAGAAAAACAGTATCAATAGTATGCAAGCATTAGTAGGAGTACGGAAGAGGCAGGAACGGAAAAGGAAACACCACGTATGTCCTTGTAAGGGAAGGGAGTTATCTGGAAGGATACACAAAACCTGCAGCAGGGGCTGCTTCTAGGGAGACAATCAAGTGGTGAGGAACATTCTCACTACTTTTTGTTCCTTTTGGATTTTATACCATATGCATAATTATCTATTGTAAAAAATAAATTAGAGAGAAGAAAAAGACTGTAGATGATAAAACCTAAAAATGAAAATGCTGGAAAAATGCCTTAAATATAATCTAGTTCAATTCTCTCACTTTATAGATGAAGAACTTGAACAACACACAGATTAAGTTCTTGCACAAATTCAAACATTCAATCAGGGCAGAAGTAGAGGTAAAAGAAGTTGCAGATAAAGGAAATTATATGTGGTAAGAAAGCAAAAGTAGCTACCAAACAGAAAAAAAAAAAAGTTTTAAAGAGTGCTAGGCCGGACTCGGTGGCTCAGCCTGTAACACCAGCACTTTGGGAGCCCGCCGGTTCAAGACCCACCTGGGCAAGTTGGCAAGACCCCGTCTCTACAATAAATACTTGGAAGGTTGAGGCGGAAGGATTGCCAGAACCCAGCAGGTTGAGGCTGCAATGGCTGGGAGTGTGCCACTACACTCTAGTATGGGCAACAGACTGAGACTCCAACTCAAAAAAAAAAAAAAAAAAAAGAGTGCTACAGGGTTCTACTCTAAAATCATATGCTAATATCTAAAACATACTAATATGTAAGACTATATGCAAAGCAAATACTATGTATTAACTCTGAAAGTCATAATTAAACAATGTCACAGGCCAGGTGCAGTGGCTCAAGCCCGTAATCCCAGCATTTTGGAAGGCAGAGGCAAGAGGATTGTTAGTTCAAGACCAGACTGGGCAACTTGGCGAGACCTCATCTCTATAACAAATCAAAAAACTACCCAGGCATAGTGGCGGGCACCTTTTCTTCCAGTTACTTTTAAGGCTGAGGTAGAAGGATCACCTGAGCCCAGCAGGTCGAGGCTGCAGTGGCCATGAGCGTGACACTGTACTCCACCCGGGTGACAGAATGAGACACACACACACACACACAGCAGCGTCGAGGCTGCAGTGGCCATGAGCGTGACACTGTACTCCACCCGGGTGACAGAATGAGACACACACACACACACACACACACACACACACACACAGGTGCTCCTGAGTACCACTTCAGGCCCAAGACAAAATTAAATAAACAAGTGGGAAGAAAAAAACATGGAAGATAATTAGTATGGGGGAAGAGGTAACATTTTACCAACTGAGGTTTTCTTAGGAATAATGCTCCTTGGCTGCTTACGTCTCTCCTCTGGCCCCTAGAATATTAACAAGTGTCTTACCCAGTGACTCTGTCCTCGTAATTTATCATTTGATTCTCCTACTATTTCTTCCCATACAGCAGCTGTTCGGTCAAAAGAACAGGAAGCCAAAACCTGTCCAAATTCAGGATGGGCCCATGTCACACGCCATACAGAGCCACTGTGTGTCTGGGAAATCAAAAAAAAAAGGAACAGTTATTCAACATCACAGAGCTTTTTTTTTCCATTAAGAAACTGAATTTAGTCATATTTCACACATAAAGGTTTTCCTTGAGGAAAAATTACACATACTTTTACTTCAAGAAGAGGAGAAAGCTGATCAATTTAATATTTAAAGTTAAATTCCAGAATTTTCTAACCTTTAGAAAATGTTCTATATTTAGAACTGTCAAGTTCTTCTAACATCTTATTAATAAAGAAAAATTCAGCCAGAGAAAGCTGACTACTTCCAGTTCTCCAAGTTGGAGATCACCTAATGCAGAGTCTAGTCTAACCAAGCTTTGAAACAGAGATGCTCCAAGTACTCCAATTATTTACTTGCAAATTATTTCTACAGGAAACACCTAAGGAAAAAAAAATTAATCAAAACTATTTTATTAAAAATCCATAAAGACAGAAAGCAGATTAGTGATTACCAGGGGCTGGGGAAGGAAAAAGGTAGACTGTTAAATGGATACAGGATTTCCTTTTAGGGTGATGACAATGTTCTGGAATTAGACAGTGGTGATAATTGCCAAGTTTGTTACTATATTTAGAATCATTAAATTGTACACTTTAAATGCGTGCATTTTAAAGTGTGTAAATTATAGCTCAATTTAAAAAGTACTATTCTGTTTTTTTTAAAAATTATTTGCTTAACAAGCCTAATAGTATACAGAAACTGTAGCAATAAAAGGTTTAAGTGATTTTCTCTGACAATGTAATCCATACATTAGAGAACAGACTAGTCTAGGAAGAGTAAACAAACACAGAGGTCAAATCCTTACTCCCAGAAAAAATAGCTTAAAGCTCAGTATCATTATCTTTATATACGAAAAATGTCAAATAACTATTCTACAACACTTTATACTGAGTAAAAAAAAAGAAAAGATGGAACGGTCTTAAAGCATTTCGCTAGCAAAAGAATTTACTAGGTGCTTACCAGTAAAAACACTGTATGATAACAAACGGTCCACCAATTACATTCAGAAAATTTGTTTCACACTTTTGTATATCACATTTCTTATATTCCACAACAGACGAACAGTTTCTTAACCCAGTAACTTCTACATAGTTAACATCATCAACCCAAGGTAAACTTCGCACTCTTATTTTTTATCTGCTGTCTTGTCCAATCTTTTCGGTATCATATTCTTTTCTTATACAGGGCTATTAAGTAAAAAATATAGTAAGGCAGATAAGTTTATTAGATTCCCAGTAAAGCACAACCTACCCAAGAACAAGGTTTGCACAAAAGATGTTCATTACAATAAGAAGAAAACTTAAATATCCATCAGTTAAGCAAGATATGATGTATTTATTAGACGTTAACAAGAGCCTTCAAAGACACAGAAAAAGTACTTATGAAGTGTTTTATGCTAAAAACATAAAATAGTGGTTTCCTCTTGAAATGATAAAAATGTTTTGAAACTAGAAAAATGTGGTAATTGTCACTGTGAATTAAGTAAATGCCACTTGTTTACTTTACAGTAATTAAAAGGCAAAAAATTTGCGTAAGCCCTTCACCAAAGAAGATATGTAAATGGCAAATAAGTATACGAAAAGACAATCAATCAATAGCAATCAATATTGGGAGGCCCAGGCAGAAGGATCGGTTAAGGCCAGGAGTTTGAGACCAACCTGGGCAATAAAGTGAGCCGGCAATAAAGTGAGCCCCTGTCTCTCAAAAAATAAAAAAAATTAGCTGGGCATAGTGGTATGTGCCTATAGATCCAATTACTCGGGAGATTGAGGCAAGAGGATCACTTGAACCCAAGAGTTCGAGACTGCTGTAAGCCATGAGCCATGATGATGCCACTGCACTCCAGCCTGGGCAACAGAGCAAGATCCTGTCTCTTAAAAATAAATCAGGCCGGGTGTGGTGGCTCAAGCCTATAATTCCAGCACTTTGGGAGGCTGAGCCCATGGGTTCGAGACCAGCCTAGGCAACTTGGCAAGACCTGATCTCTACAATAAATCAAAAATTAGCCGGCATGGTAGCATGCACCTATAGTTCCGGTTACCTGAAAGGCTGAAGCAGAAGGATCACCTGAGCCCAGCAGGTCAACTCTGGGGTGGCTATGAGTGTGCTACAGCACTCCAGCCCGGGCAAAGCAGTGAGATTTCAACTCAAAAACAAAACAAAACAAACCCTGGAACCCTCATACATGGCTGGTAGAAATGGCACAGCCACTTCAGAAAAACTCTGACAGCTTCTTAAAAGTTTAACTATATACAGGAGTTTAACTATATACAGCCCAGCCACTCCACTCTTGGGTTATCTACCCAAAAGAAATGAAAGCACTATGTCTATACAAAGACTCATTATGGCATGTTTCTCATATTACCCATACGGCCAAAAATTAGAACCAATTCAAATGTTCACTGACTGGTGAATGGATAAACAAAATGCAGTATATATGTACAATGAACTACTGAGTACTACAAAGGAATGAAACATGGACACATGACACAACATGAATGAACATAAAAAACATGCTAAGAGAAAGTAGTCACACATAAAGGACTATGCAATTCAAGATTTCACTTACATAACATTTCTAGAGAAGATAAACCTCTGGGGACAGAAAATGGACCAGTGGTTGCCCTGGGCTTGGAGTGGGAATAGGGCACAAGGGGATTTTCAGAGCAGACAGAGCGTTCTAAAATCGAACTGTGGAGGCACAGCTGTGCACGTTTCTTAAAGCTCAAAAAACTGTACACTTAAAGTTGATAACTTTTAAGGAATGAGACCTTCTACCTGAGTAAAGGTGTTACTTTTTACAACAAGAAATAAACTACATATGCAACATTACAACTATTAAAAATATATACAGAAAAAGGAAATATGCTGAAATGATAAGATAATTATGTTAGAATGCTACAGAATTATAGATTCCCTGAAATGTATTTACTCTAATAGTAAAAAATGCAAAATATCTTTCCAGGAAAAAAAAGACTGTATAAGTTTTATCATGTTCTCAAAACAAGTCACTGATATTACCAAATAGTAAATATGTATTTTTCTAAAATATCACTATAAAAATAAATACTAACCTTCCAGCTAGCAGTACAATGCCAATCCCCACTTTCACTTTTATCCCAGACCTATAAGAAAATAAAAGGCAATATTTTATACAAAGAATTCCCACAAATTGATACAAAAAGTTCATAAGACTGAACCAGTGAAGAAGCAAAGAGGTGAACATAAACTTCACAAAATACAACCAGTAGTTAAACATTCATTCATTCATTCATCAAACATTTATTGAGAACCTTGACTGTGTCAGGCACTAGGTCAAGCACTGAGAGACCCAGGAAGCCAAGCTCTAATAAATAACAGAGACAGCAATTACATTCAAGTCTCCTTTTCAAAGGAGTTATGGTCTATAAAGTCGCCTTCACTACTAAAACACTGCTCCCAAGAGAAATATAGGAGTAGGTTCTGTGAACCTCTGGCCTACATTTTCATCAACCAGTCACCTTGTTTTAGGTGTGTTTCTGTTTAAAGACAGTATCTGATACATAGTTTACTCATCAACATTTAACTCATAGCCAACAGTACTATAACTCATGCCTGTAGGAAGCTGCTCTAACACACATAGATAAATCAACAAACCATGAAAAGGACACTTGTTTACAGTATGAGCCAAAACAATCAGATAGAGTGTCACCTTATTCCACCTCAGCCGGGAACATGTCCAGGGACTCAAACTTTTCGCCATTCCATACACGTGCACACACGACTACAAAAGCACCAGATATTGATTTTGGGGGTACAAACAAATTTTAGCTAGTAGGCATGTTCACAAATACAGAATCTACAAATAATAAATAGTGAAACCAGGTGCAGTGGCGCACCTGTAGTCCCAGTCATTCTGGAAGCTAAGGCAGGTGGATCACTTGAGCCCAGGAGCTGGGGGTGGCCGTGAATGTGCCACTGCAATCCAGTCTGGGCATCAGAGTGAGACTCCAACTCAAAAAAAAAAGCTTTTAAAATAGTCACTAGCTGGGCTCGATGGCTCAGCCTGTAATCCCGCGCCTTTGGGAGGCTGAGGTGAGTGGATTGCCTGAGCCTGCGGGTTCGAGACCCGCCTGGGCAGGGAGACCTCATCTCTACAATAAATCAAAAAATCAGCTGGGCGTGGTAGTGCATGCCTGTAATTCCGGCTACTCGGAAGGCTGAGGCGGAAGGATTGCCGGAGCCCAGTAGGTCGAGGCTGCGGTGGCCGGGAGCGGCCACTGCACTCCAGTCTGGGCGACAGAGTGAGACTCCAACTCAAAAAAATAAATAAATAAATAAAATAAAATAGTCACTAATTTCTCTACTGGAATTAGTCTAAGGAAATCATTCAAAATATATAAAATGTGGCTCAGTGGCTCCCATCTGTAATGACTTTGGAAGAACAAGGCAGGAAGGCCCAGGAGTTTGAGATAAGTCTCGGCAATACAGTGAGACCCCATCTCTACAAAAAATAGAAAAATTAGCCAGGCATGATGGCACATGCCTACAGTCCCAGCTACACGGAGGCTGAGGTGAAGATCGCTTGAGCACAGGAGAATGAGGTTGCAGTGAGCTGGACAACCCAGAAACTGAAAGATCAAATAAAAGATCCAGGAATAAGTGGATAATGAAAACAATGTATGGCCTATTCAGTTAACAGATATCATTTAAGCCATTAAGAATGGTAATTATTAATATAATGCCACACTAGTGGGAGAAAATATGACTCATGCCTATAATCCCAGCACTCTGGGAAGTCGAGGCAGGAAGAATGCTTGAGCCTAGGAGTTGGAAACCAGACTAGGCAACATAGAAAGACCTCGTCTTTACAAAAAAAAGAAAAGAAATAAAAAAATTAGCTGCGTGTGGTGGTGCAGCACACCTATAGTCCCAGCTACTAGGGAGGCCTTGGCAGGAGGACACCCTGAGCCCAGGAGTTTGAGGCTATAGTGAGCTGTGATCAGCCTGGGAGATGGAGTGAGAATCTGACTTTTAAAAAAAAAAACACAAGTTTAAATATAAAATACATATACACACACACTACCATAACAAATATTTTAAAAATTAAAGGACAAAGAATGGAAAAAAATAAACATTAACAATAAATGTTAAGATAGTAATGCGCCTATAAGTAATTTTCTATCTTCTAAAAAAAGGATATTCTTTGCATAAATTTAAAAATATAGCTGGGCGTGGTAGCACGTGCCTGTAGTTCCAGCTACTTGGAAGGCTGAGGCAGAAGGATCGCCGGAGCCCAGCAGGTGGAGGCTGTGGTGGCCGGGAGTGGCCACTGCACTCCAGTCTGGACGACAGAGTGAGACTCCAACTCAAAAAAATAAATAAATAAATAAAAATATGTATGTTCATGTGTGTGTGTACAAATAAACACAAGGCTCTTAAATGAGAAAAAGTACTCTGAGAAAAAAAAGCCATAAGGCCACAGAACAATAAAAAGTAAACAGGAATAAAATATAAACATTTATAATTAATTATTATTCTCAGCTAAAAACTTCCTGAGGGGGGGAAAAAAACACCCATGCCATGCAAGTTCTTTACAAACCAATAAAAGTGATCTTGAACCATCACATACAGTATAAATCTGGTATCTCACCAGCATACCTAGACTATTCATGCCAGTCAACGTATGACAAGTAGCTGCGAGAAATGTATCCCAGGGCTGCAAAACAGAATCACATGATGTCCAGAGAGCCAAATGGACCGATGAGCGGAGATCGAAAGGAGGTAAATACAAAAATCGAAACATCTCTTTTTCATCTTTTTCTCTTCGTCCTTCCTCCTCCTCCTCCTCCATCATCATCTTTCTCTCTTCTTTTTCTCCTCATCCTTGTCTTCTTCCTCTCCTCCTTTTTCTCTTACTTCCTCTCCATCTTTTTCTCTTCTTCCTCTCCTCCTCCTCCTTTCTTTTTCTTCTTCCTCTTCCCTCCTCCTTCATCATCATCTTTTTCTCGTCTTTTCTTTAGGGAAAGAGATTCTGGCACGTGCTACGAAGCGGATGAACTCTGAACACGTGATGCAAAAGGCACTCTAGGGTTCCACTGACAGGAGGTCCCAAACGCACGCAAACTCATGGACAGATGAGCAGAGGTCCGCGGGCTGGGGCAGGGGGGGAACACACTTCCCACGTGCGGTTATGAGAAGGCGTTCGGTGCCGCTCCACGTTCACTACCACAAAAATCAACTTCAAAAAATGATACTAAACCTTCCGAGAAACGCAACGCGGTGGTCATTCGACAGACAACCTGTCGCCCTTAAAAACGTTATCTCTGAGACATCGCTGGCAACTCAAATAAAAGCGAGATAACTTCGAGCCTGGGTCACGGCGGCGTCGCTGGGGGAGCAAGTAACGCACACTCCGAGTGCACCTTCAAGTCCGCTTAACCCCAGCAGTCATCCTCAGTCGACGGATCTTGAGGGAACCTCGGGAACAAACACGCGCGTTCATTCTCATGGCAGGCAGAGAAGCCGCCGGAGACACAGGCCGGACGTTTTGCTTCTTCGTGAAACACCGCGAACGCTCTGAGCCTCAGTACAAAGCGTCCAGGGGCGAGAGCCCCGTGGAGGCCCAGAACGTGAGGCGCGAGCCGCGGGCTACGTCGAGAACCCCGGCGGCAGCGCACATACCCCTCGGCCCGAGCAACCGGCCCCCGGAGGACCCGCACGCAGCGTCGGAGAGCCAGCCCAATCACACCCGGAAGTGCCGCCCGCCGCGGCGCACGCGCCCGGCGTCTCTGCGGACGGGAGCGCGCACGTGGCAAGACACCGCCCTGCGCAGGCGCACGGGGGCGCGCGCCCGCGGGGCGGCCGTGACCCCCCCCACCAAACGCAGGCGGGGAGAGCTTTGGCGGGGGACGGAGTCGCGGGCCGGCCGGGGCCCCCCCGCCACTCCCTGGGCTCCGGACCTCGTGCCAGGCAGCGCGCACCAAAATCAGGGATGGCCCCCTGTCCCCGCGCCGCCCACCCGCTCTCCCTGCCCCCAGGCTCGGCCCCACCCGCGCGCACCTTGACGCTCTGGTCGCTGGAGCAGGTCGCCATCCGCCGCCCGTGGAAGTCGAAAGAGACATCGTGGATGAGGTCCTTGTGGTCCGCTGCGATGCTGCGCGCCACGAACATGGCTGCGGCCTGGCCTGCGCCTCCGGAGAGGGCCGCGGCGGCGGCGCAAAGCCCGCGGCT